GATCACTTTTGTGCTCTTTAACTTTAAGCCAATTATTAGAATTAGTCCTTTTGTTCTATGTAGTTTCTGCAATAGCAGGTTTTTCTTCAGATTCTTAAGAGCTTTCATATTTTCTTGCTCTCTTACACACCTTGGCTTGTTGGAGTTAGAGACAGGAAGCTTCTTCTTGCCTAGGCTTTTCTTGCCTTTTTCCAAACCACATTTTTTTCTGATGAAATATTTTTTCCAATGGCTAAGTAATATCCTCAGCAACAATAATGTTTCCTAAAACTGTTCACATTTTTTCCATTAAGAGATCCAAATGTGTTCAAATTTGGTAGTCTCTTCAATGATTTTGTAATTTTTTAGGAATTCTATGCCTTTATCAATTGATCATTCAATTTCAAGACCCTTCTAACAGGCTTTCAGCTTTTGCCATCACTATAAAGCCCCTTGTGAGTTCCTGTAGGAAAGAACTAGACAGAGACAGCCCCTAGAATGTCCCATAGCTTCCAGAACTTCTCATCTTCACCCACACTCTCTTCAAATCAGAGACAGAACATGATGAAAGATTTGGGAATTTTGCATTTCAGAAGGAGCTGTGATAGGGGAGAACTGCCCTGATATAAGCTAGCCCTTTTGAAACTGTGTGAAGAGATGCTATCTGGGAACCCTGCCATAAAGGTAAAGAGGCTCACTACTAATTTTTGGAAAAGGGTTGATTGATCACTGGAGGAGTGAGACCAACCAAAATCTTTGTTCAAGGTTAGTCTCATTTGTTCTACCATTCTCTAATTCAGCTTTCATACCACCACCACCAGAATATTTCTTTTTGAGTCTTCTATGTATTTATTGTTTTACAGCAGAATGCCCAACACAGATCATCATAACTGCTAAATAGTCAGCTGTGCAAAATAGTATATATAGTGCTTAAGTACAATTGGGAGACATGATTTAAAATAAATAAACACAAATTTATGGTCCTACTAAAGAGCATTTAAACTAGATGGTCCAAATTGATCTGCCTCCTTGTTATTTTCCCCAAAACCAATAGAATCAATATACTGAATCATCATCAGTTCCTCTGTGTGAATAATGGATCACAATAAATGAGTCCCTTTTTCTATCAGCTTTTCCTGGCTTCTCTACAAACATGATCTAGCCTGCATTAAAAACAAACAAACAAACAAACAAAACAGTAATTTTTTGAAGTCAGTGATCCAAAATGCTAAGTATGGTTAAGTATTCTACATGATCTATATTCACTGGTTCCATTTTTAGTTAAGATGTACTTAGATTACTTTCTTCAATTCATCATACAGGATAAGCACTAAAGTTCCATCCATGCATCTAAAAACACTGGACCAGGCACCCTAGAAGAAAGCTTTGCCACTCTCATCTTTAGCAATCTTTCCTCCAACATGTCCCACTGTACATGGTATCAGCTCCTTCGTACCCAGACTGCATCATCATTCACTGCCTTACCATATCAAACGGATAGCAGACCACACCTGCCACAGCAGTCACTGTTTGTGCAATCAACCAACCCATCACAATGTGAGTGTTCTTCAGTTCTGGGAGCATGTCTTTTGCTGTATCGTAGATTCCAAAGTAAGCTGCTATAGATAATGATAACCTGCACTGAGACATTAAAACCTTGATACAAGCCACAAATTCCATTAGATTTGGTGATTTCCAAGAGGCAATTTCCCAGGCCTTTGAATTCTCACTCAGTGCCAGATTTCCCAACATCAGCTGCCAAGTGGGTTCTCACAAAATCCAAGGAGTAGACAAAGCAGAGAGAAGTGGCCCCAGCTGCACCACCAGGGGCAGGATTGCCAGCAAAATACCTCCAAAACTGTGTGTGTTTTGTGTCCCCAAAACACCTGCTTATAATTATCCTTAAAGGCAAAGTTTAAGGGCCTGGGTGGGGGAAATATCTGATGACGTTTGCTAAATTGCCCTGTCAGAAGGAAAACACCCCCTTTTCCTTTAGAATCCGGACTATACAATCCATTATGCTTTTGTACTGCTTATCTGCAGCAATTTGTTTACTTGCATGCTGCACCTGCAATAGTAGCTTGACTCTCTCGATGGAGCTCACTGAAGTCTTGGAAACAGAACCTCGATGCCACAGGCCAGGAAGTCCTTGGCGAAGGAGATGGCCTGTTCCATCACGGTTACAGAGGGGGAAGGTGTTGGAGTTGGAGGAAGAAGGTCAGTGAGAGAGGGCTGAAAGCTGAGGAACTCGTTGCTGCCTGCCTAGCCCCTTCCTATGGCGAGGACCGAAAGGCCAGAATAATATTTAAGTGTAGATGTGGCCATGTCTGATAAAGGTCTCATTCCTCAAATATATAGGGAACTAAGCCAAATCTATAAAAATAAGAGCCATTCCCCAAATGATAAATGGTCAAAGCATATGAACTTGGCAGGTTTCAGAAGAAGAAATGAAAGCTATCAAGTCATATGAAAAAATGCTCTAAATCACTATTAGTTAGAGAAATGCAAATTAAAACAACTCTGAGGTACCACCTCAGAGCTATCAGGCTGGCTAACATGACAGAAAAAGAAAATTACAAATACTGGAGGGGATGTGAAAAAATAGGGACACTAATGCACTTCTGGTGGAGTTGTGAACTGATCTGACCATTCTGCAGAACAATTTGGAACTATGCTCAAAGGGTTATAATACTGTGTATACCCTTTGACCCAGGAATACTACTACTCTGTCTGAATCCCAAAAAGATCAAAGAAAAAGGGAAAGGGAGCTATTTGTACAAAAGTATTTATAGCGACTCTTTTTGTGGAATTGGAAATTGAAGGGATGACCATCAATTGGGAAATGGCTGAACAAACTGTGGTATGTGATTGTGATGGAATACTAATGTGCTGTAAGAAATGATAAACAGGGTGACTCCAGAGAAAACCGGGAAGACATGTATAAAGTCATGCAAAATGAAGTGAATAGAACTAGGAGAACACTGAACACAGTAACAGCAATATTATAAGGATGATCAACTGTGAAAGATTTAGCTACTCCGATCAAGACAATTCCAAAGGACCCATAATGAAAAATGCTATCCACCATTAGAGATATTTTGCATTATCTCACATGTATAATTAAAATCATATTGTTTGTTTTCTCAAGGAGTGGGGATGGGTGGAAGAGAGGGAGAGAATTTGGAACTCAAAATTTTTAAAAAATAATTATTACAAATGTTTTACATGTAATTCAGAAATATTTAACAAAATAAATAAAAACAACTAAAGAAACCCAATAAATATATGAATGACCAAATTGTTTCAGATGTTGAAGAGGGAATTCCTAGTCAGTTATAGGTGGAAGTTGATGGTCATTGAGGTCCCTTAAAACAGGGTGTGCTCCAGTCAGCTCTAACAAGAGTGTATTTGTTGTTCAATCATTTCCCACTTCTGGCTGACTCTTCCTGACCCCATCTGGGGTTTTCTCGGCAAAGATACTGGAGTAGTTTGCCATTTCCTTCTCTAGCTCATTTTTTAGAGATGAGGAATCTGAGGCAAACAGGATTAAGTGACTTGCCCAGGGTGACACTGCTATTAAGTGTCTGAGGTCACATTTGAACCCAGAAAGATATCTTCCTAATTCCAAGCCCAGAGCTCTATTCACTGAGCCACCTACCTTCCCCAACAAGTTTGTATAACAGCCCTTAAATTTTCAGTGTGAGCATTTACACCTCAAAAATCAGCTAAAGCTACAGATTAAAGCTTGATTTATTGCTTTGTAGATCGTCTGGACTTAAGAAAGTGTTAATAATGCAAATTAAACTTGAAAGTGTCTGTGTGTGTATACACACACACTTATGTATATATACATTTTCACATGCTTGCACTACTCCGACGGTTACTTTGACTTTTCCACCATGCTCCAGGAAGCTCATTATTGGAATAACCTCATCATACAGTAAAAGACCTCAGCAGCTTTGGGGCAAGACTGGGGGGTTGTGCCGTGAACTCCAAACCTCTATTTAAGCAGAGACTCTCAGCTCAGAACATTTCCCACCTGACTGACTGATTTCTCTTGACTTTTTTTTTTAACCATACCAAGAGTGAAACACCCTCTCGTTCCTTCCCTTCACCCCCAAACCTTCTCACTTTCCTTTTGTGCTTTCTCTCTCCCGCCACCCCTCGATTTTAAGCAACTTGAGGGTAGAGACCGGTTTTTTGGTTTCTTTGCATTCCCAGTGCTTAGCACAGTGCCCGGCACATTAGTAGGCACTTAATATTAATGTTTACTGATTATTGCCTATGATCTCATTTGAACCTCACAACATCCCTGCTTGCAACTCCAAAATTTTCTAATTTGGAAAAATAAGCAATGCCCTTGGGTGTGGGGTGGGGTCCACGACTTCGGGGAGGGGGCTGAGGACAGGTAGGTAGTGGTTTAGGGGACGGGGAGACTACCTAGAGTACCTGGGCCCAGGGACAAGGAGTGCCTTTCAGGCACAATAGCTGTAAGCAGTAATCTGTTAGTAAACTTTTATTAAGCGCCACCACGTACCGGGCACTGCTAAGCGCAGAAGGCAAACGGCAGTGCCTGCTCTCAAGGGGCGCACAGTCTAATCCGGGAAACAATTTGCAAACAACTGCGAACAAACATAATCTGCAGAGGAAAAGAACTAGCTTTAATCGGGATCAGGAAAGGCTTCTTGTAGAAAGTGAGATTTTAGCTGGGACTAGAAGGAAGCCAGCAAGGCTTCCATCTGTAGCTGACGAATGCAGCCCTGTCCATTCGTTTCAAGTCCGCAGGGGTCAGCATGGACAAAATAAACCTCCTATCCAAACACTGAGGGTGCCCAGGACACTAGGGGCCAGGCGTGACGTCACAGATCCCGCTTACTTTACCCTCAATCCTCGGTCCCCTCTCCGCCCTCCCACTCAGACTACTAAACTCTGGCAAAACTGCGCACGCGCATGCGCGCGCGGACCCTCCCATCCAGCTGCTCGCGCCTCTCGCGAGGGGTTGTCGGCGCCTGCGCCCTGCGCAGACCAGGGCGCGTAGTTTGAATTGATCGCGCGCCGGGGCTCCCTTACAAACTATTTCCACCGCCGAGAGTTCGCAGCACCGTATGGCCTGGTCCGTTCAAATAGAGTTAGTGGACTCAAGCGTACGTCGGCCCCCGGGGGGGGGGTGAGAGGAGAAGGTCGCCTATGATAGGCTGGAACGTGGGCGGGGTCGGCGCGAGGTGCGAGTCCGAGCCGGAAGGAGCGGTTCGTTGGCGGGCGACCGTTAGCTCGTGGTTTCCCGGCTTCGCCCGACCAGGCTTGGTGTTAGTTCCTCGGCCTGCTCGCAGCTGCCGGCCTCGAGCCCCGAGGTGGAGCCCCCGTGCCCGGCGCGTGACTCCGCCCGAGGCCCGAGCTTCGTGACCCGCGGTGGTTTGTGCCCCGAGCCGGCCGGGAGCGGGCCCAGCTGATCCTGCTCGGGCCAGCGGAGGGGGAGGGCCCGGTGCCTGGGGGAGGAGCTGGGGCCGGGCTGGGAGCTGGGGGGTGGGGGGGAGGAGCCGAGCAAACGCCGGCCTGAGCCGGTCCCCGGCGGAAGCACCATCGTCCTCGGGCTCATTGGCTGATCTCTGAAAAGCCCTTTTGTCTGTGTGCATTTATCCAGACAGTCACATGTCAACTTTTAATGTCTTCTGTAGGGAAACGTACACATCCGTGTGTATAGCTCTAGATAGCGTTTTCCCTCAAAGAAGCGTAAAGGATGGCTGGTGCGGAGCTGGAAGACTTGTGCTCTCATATCAATGAAAAAATTTCCCATGTTAAGAAAATTCTGCAATTGAAAAATATAGGTAAGCTTGTGGAACAGTGTTGGTCGAAGTAATTTAAGATGAACACTATTCTTATTAGATTTACTCATTTACTCTTTTCTCTGAAGAACACAAAGCATGAAACCAATAACCCTCAAATATGTTGCATTCTGAAGTATAATGGAAGTATAGAGAGGCAAGTTAAAAATTTCAGTTCAGCAGACATTTTTAAAGTGGCAGTATGTGTAAGACATGGTGGTAGGAGTTTAACATACAAAGATAAAAAGTATACTTTTCCCCAGCTTTCCCTAATTTTTGTATAGGAAAATTATCAGTATTACTCCTTTAAAATGATTATTCTGGAGATTTTTTCAATATCTCTTACTTGCATTTTATCTTTATGTTCAACAGGATATGATCCAGCCTTAAAGACTGTATTTCAGAAAATTAGAAATGAAATGACTCTTCTAAATGACCTTTTAAACAAGTTGGAGCTGGAGATTCAATATCAAGAACATGTCAGGAATTCACTTAGGGTAATTGAAATTTTTGTCTTTTGCAAAGGAAAAGTAATTCTAAAAAAAAAAAAGTTTCAAAAGCAGCATCTCAAAATGATGAAACTCATTATATCCATTATCACAAACCAGTGGTGTACTGAATTATAAGTTTATAATGGGTTTTTACCTGTGTGGCTGAAAGAGTACAGAATTTTTACTCTCAGTAGACCATATCCCGAAACCTTTATGTGTGTGTATAAATGTATGTATATGTGTATATGTGTATTCTACCACTCCACCCAGAATCCTCCCCTCAGAAATGGTTTGCTATATTTGCGGTGCTTCAAGTATTAGACTTCAAGTTTTAAATGTAAGAACTTTGTTTACAATTTTCCATGGGAAAATGGTGTAAGACTTACTGAATTAAAATTATACAAAGTTAAACCAAGTGTTAGAACTTTATCTTTTTAAAAATTTTCCAAAAAGTATCAGCTCACTTACTAGTGGGAATGAGGGCTATTTGAATATATTCAGATAAGCTTATAAATTAATACAACCTAACCTTGCTTTGAAAGCCAGAAAATCCATTACAATGTTATAATTGTAAGAGACTGTAACTAGTTTAACGCATTCATTTTACCAGTGAGGAATCTGAGACTTAAAGCAATGTCATGACCTATTCTTGGTCACCTAGAAGGCAAGGAGATTAATTTTCAGCTTTAATGACTTTTTTTTTATGTAACAGCACTCATAAATTCCATATCCTGTATGTCCATATCATTTTTCCCTTAAGTGCCCATCAACCATCTTTTATGGTTGTCTTGTCAAGGAGGGGCAAACAGGTTGGGGAGTTAAGAAAACCCAATTTTAAAAACAGATCCTACTTTTCTGTTTTATTGCACCCTGCCTGACAAAAGAATGTATCAAAGTTCATAGCCCATCAGCTTCACTTAGTGTCAGGCTTCATTAAAGATTAATCTTCCAGACCCTACAGTAGATAGGACTTCCTTCTCCTATATCTAGAAATATATTGTATGCTCTAGTCAAAGAGGCAAAATAGAGAAAGTAAAAAGGTTATCTCTACTCTTAAATTCTGTCCAAGGGGATGCACTGCATACTTTTGCAGTCTCTGTGGGAATCAGGCTCTCTTGCTTGTGGTAGGCAAATCTCTAAAATAAGAGACTAAAGGGCTTCTGGATTCTATTTCTTTTTCTCCTTATGACAGTTCTTCATTTTATACTTTTGTACCTTGTGCTTTTAAGGACTTTTTGATTCTCCAAGTAAATAACTTTTGTTTTTAACTTCTTTCTGTAAGGCAAAAGATAAACTAGGAAGTAGGTAAATAGGAAAAGGACTAGACTAGGACTTGAGAGAGCTAGGTTATATTTTCATTTCTTTCAATAACTGGTGGTGTCATTCACTGAGTCTCTTTCCTCATCAGGAAAATGAGAGGGTGGGGATTGGACTGAGTAAATTCAGCCAGGGAAAGTGTTCTTATCAAGATTCTTAGCCTGTGGAAATAGAAATAACAGTGCATACCTTACAGGATTGTTCATGGGAATAAATGAAACACTTATAAAGCTTGTTGATCTCTTCAGAAAAAAACTGCTGTGTGCCTAACAGTATATTATACATAGTAAGTGATTAATAAGTTTTTAATAAATACCTTTTTATCATATTAGAAATAGTTGTCTGGGTTAGTGGTCTCACACATTCTAACCTTAATAGTTTAAAGATACCTTAGGCCAATAATGTATAGGTTAAAGGCTAGATCTCAGGTGGGAAATGTTGAACTTGGCATTAAATGCCTATCTTGTGAAATTTCTGTTGGCATTATTGGGAGATAGATGACATGAATCCAAAGAAGCAGTATATTTTCTTATGTAAATGAACATGAGGCCACAGCCATAAGTTGAATCAAGTAAGCCTAAAAGAATGAGAATAGTTAAGCAATTTAAATGGAAAATTAAACAGCATTGGACTTGGTATTAGGAGTTTCAGGGTTGAATCTTCACTCTGACATTTAATAGCTATTTGACAAGGGTAAATTATTTAACTTAGCCTCAGTTTCCTCATCTGTATAATATGAGAGTAATATATGCATTATATTTAGGAAAGCACTTTGTAAACTTTAAATACTACATAAATGTGAATTTATAAGAATAACTTTTTTTTTCTCACAATAGTACACTGATGCATTAGGACTATGATCCTGGCAATTATGAGTAGCATTGGGGAGCATTTAATTCCCAGGTATAATTTTCTCTACTGGTAAATTTTAGGACAGTTCTAGTTTTGAGGGGGAAAATACTCAATTTTAAAAAATGATATACTATTAATGTAACGAAAGGAAATGTTCTATGAATAATCCAATGGGGAAAGACAAAATACAATCCAAGAACAGTTTTAGAATACAGACCAGTCTTAGGTGGTTATATTCATCCAACAGCTTACAAATGATTTACTTCCTGAAAATTCAAGGCCATGGTCATACTTGAATATTACCTAACTAGCCTAATACATTTTTAATTGTGGCAGATATTTGTAGATTGCTATTTAAAATAACTTTTCAAATACAAAAATATAGAACTTGTTTTTCTTCAGGAGTTACAGGAATCCCTTGATGGAAATTACAAAGAAATACATAACCTTAAGGAAAATATTCCTCCCCATTTGCCCAAAGTAGTCCAGAGCTGGTAAGCACATTTCTACTTATTGAGAAATTCTTATTACCTGGTATTTAAAATTGTAAAATAAGAAGCAGTCTAAGGCTTAGAGCTCACTCTTTCCCTGAATTTCTTCACTTCTCTTCCAATACAGTTTTTTACTCAGTCATCAAATGAAATTGCTTTTGCCAACATTCTAAGGATTATTTAATTGCAAAAGCCATTGATCTTTTCTAAATCCTTTACTTTCTTGATCTCTTTGCAATGTTTGACACTGTTGACCAAACTTCCTGGACACATCTATTTTTCATCTCTCTTCTGTATTCCAGTCCCACATAACCGACAGTCTCCTGGAAATTTCTTATTTGGTGTCTCATTGGCATCTCAAATATAACATGTCCAAAAGAGAATCTGTTACCTTCTTCCAGAAGTTACCTCTCTTACTAACTTTCCTATCTTGGTTGAAGGTACCAACATCCTTCCACTCATTTCAGCTTTATAACTTGAGTCATTCTCAACTCTTCACTCCCCCTTACTAGTCAGGTTTAAAAATCTTGAAAATCCCACCTTTGCAATGTCTTTCACATCCATCCCTGTCTCTCCACGTAATATGACCACCACCCTCCATCAAACTCTTACTACCTCTTGCCCAGACTATTTTAACCATCTATTTGATTTCCCTTCCTTGAGCCCCTGTCCTTTCTAATTCAAACTCTAGATATCTAGCAGCTTGATATTCCTAAAGCATTGTCTGACCAAGTCATGCCTCTGCTTGGGAATCTTCATTAACTCTCTTGCTCAGAGAAAAAATAAAATCACCTCTCTTATTCTACCTTATTCCTCTTCACACACACTGTGTTCCAGCCAAACTCATCTGCTTGCTGCTGTTCATATATAACATTCTACCTTCTATCTCCTTGCCTTTGTACAGGCTGGCCCCCACAACTGAAATACACTTCCTGTTCGCTTCTACCTCCTAGAATTTAATTGCATTAAGCTCCAGCTGAAATGCCATCTGCTGTGTGATTCCTTTCTTGATTTCAGGAAAGCCATGGAAATAGAAAAATATATGTAACAATTTCTGTGGATTTTGTTATAAAAGGAGGAATTTATTCCTATTTACTACACATATCTGCACATATTCTTTTGTAAACTTTCTAGTTTTCTGCTGACTTTTCATGATTCATACATGTTCTTTCTGCCTTTATTCCATAGTGTGGTGGAACCAAATGCTAATCCTGAAGAACAAGTTAAAATTACAGCATCTGAACACTCAAAGAAACCCTCAAAAGAGCAAAAACCAATTAAAGAAATTTTACTATTAACTTCTGATGAATTTGATAATGTGCCTGGGTAAGTATGCAAGAATTTTTTTATTTAATACTTTCTTTAATAAAGGATTTATATATAGTTGACTTAGTTATAAATTTGATTATATCAAATATAATGTCTGCTGGAGTCACATTGCTTGAATCTTTTTAGTTTTTCTTTTTATGAATTTGATTAACAAGCAAATCTGAAAAGAACAAAAAAGATTCTATATGAAAATGTAAGCTTACAGGGTTTTAAATATATATTAAATTTAATAAGATAATAGCAAATTTTTCTGTTTGTGTCTCTAAACTTTTTAATTTTCCTTTATAATTTTATCATATTTATTTTTGTTTCTCTAATACTACCCACTAAACCATCTCTCCTCAAGACTTTTGCATTTTACAAATGTGTTTAGTCATAAAAACACATCAACATACTCTCCATGTCTGAAAATATACCTTTAATCCAGGGGTTCTTAATTTTGGGGTCCATGATCTTTTTTAAAAAGTATTTTGATAATTTTTGTTATGATTGGTTTTTTTGGTAATTTTCTGTATTTTGTATTGTGCATGTACAGATGTATCTCTGAGAAAGAGTCCATAGGCTTCACCAGACCACCAAAAGCATCCATGACAAAAGGTTAAAGAATCTAGCTCTAGTCTATATTCCTTTTCTTTCAAGGAATAGGAAGCAAGCTTCATCATTAACATTCTACAGTTTTTCAAAATTGTTTTCCTTATAGTGTGGAGTAAGCCTAATAGTAAATATAGGGGTGAGAAAAAGCAGTCCTGGGGTATAACTGCAAAAAAAGACAGTGATATCTGTTCAAATTCAAGGTAAACTGTTCAACATCACAGTAACACAAGGCTACTAACTACTGATGCTGAGGAGGCCAAAGCTGATCAGTTCCGTGAAGACTTACATCTAGAAATAATACCAAAAAAAGATGTCACATTCATCATAGGGGATTGGAATGCTAACGTAGGAAATCAAAAGATAATTAAAATAACAAGTTTGGCCTCGGAGTACAGAATGAATGGGGCAGAGACTAATAGAGTTTTGTCACGATAACAGTGGGCATAGCAAATACTTTTTCAACAACCCAAATGGAGACTCTACATATGGACATCACCAGATGGTCAATATCAAAATCAGATTGATTATATACTTTGCAGCCAAAGGTCAAGAAGCTCTAAACAGTCAGTTAAAACAAGACCTGGAGTTGACTGTGGCTCAGAGCATGACCTTCTTATTGCAAAAGTCAGACTTAAATTGAAGAAAGTAGGGAAAATTGTCAGACTGTTTTTTAAGTATTACCTAAATAACATCCCCTATGAATATTAAGTGGAAGTGATGAATAGATTTAAGGAATTAGATTTTGTAGTTGGAGTGCCTGAAGAATTATGGACAAAGAATCACATTATTGTCTAGGAGGCAGCAACAGAAAACATTCCAAAGAAAAAGAAATGACTGATGAGGCTGAGGAAAGAAAGAAAGCAAAAGGTAAAGGAGAAAGGGAAAGATATATACCCAGTTGAATGCAGAATTCCAGAGAATAGCAAGGAGAGATGAGGTTTTCTTAAGTGAGCAATCCAAAGATATAGAAGAAAACAGTAGAATAGGAAAGACAGATCTTTTAAAGAATATTAAGAGATACCAAGGGAATATGTCTTGTAAAAATGGGCATAATAAAAAAATGATAGGGACTTAACAGAAGTAGAAGAGATTAAGAAGCAGTGACAAAAAAAAAAATAAGAACTATATAAGAAAGAGCTTAACATTACCAGTAACCATAGTGTTACTGATCTAGAGCCATACATCCTGGAAAATGAAGTCAAGTGGACCTCAGGAAGCATTACTAACAAGGCTAGTAGAGATTAGGGAATTCTAGCTGGGCTATTTAAAATCCTAAAAGATGATGCTGTTAAAGTGCTGCACTAAAATTGCTAGCAAATTTGAAAAACTTAACAATGGCACAGGATTGGAAAAGATAAGTATACATCCATCCTAAAGGTCAATACCAAAGAATGTTCAAATTACTGAACAGTTGCATTCATTTCACCCAGTAACAAAGTTACGCTTAAGATTCTGCAAGCTAGGCTTCAGCAACATGTGAACCGAGATTTGCCAGAAGAGCAGGCTTTTTGGTTTTTTTTGGAAGCAGACAGAGTTAAGTGACTTGCCCAGTGTCACACATCTAGTGAGTGCCTAAGGCCAGGGCTGGTACTTTATCCATATCACCACTGAGCTTCCCCGCCACTGCTTTTTGAGGGTTGGGGCAGACTGGTTTTCAAACAGGAACTAGGGACCAGATTGCCAACATTTGCTGGATTATGGAGAAAGCAAAGGAGTTCCAGAAAAATACCTACTTCTGTTTCATTGACTACACTAAAGCCTTTGACTGTGGATCCCAACAAAATGTGGCAAGTCCTCAAAAGTGTGGGAGTACCAGATCCTACTTGTCTCCTGAGGAACCTGTAATCAAGCCAAGAAGCAACAGTTAGAACTGAACAAGGAACAACTGATAGGTTTAAGATTGGAAAAGGAGTATGACAAGATTATATGTTGTCACCTTATTTATTTAACTTATGTACAGAGTACATCATGGAAAATGCCAGGCAGGGCGAATCAAAAGCTGGAATTAAGGTTGCAGGGAGAAATGTCAACAATTTAAGATATGCAAATGATATCACTCTGATGGGAGAAAGTAAAGATTAAGAAGCCTCTTGATGAGAGTGAAAAAGGCAAATGTAAAAGCTGGCTTGAAGCTTAACATCCAAAAAACTAAGCTCTTGGCAACTGGTCCCATCACTTCCTGGCAAATACAGGTGGAAGAAACGGAAGCAGTGTCAGATTTTATATTCTTGGCTCAAAGATCATTTCAGATGGTGACTTCAGCCTTGAAATTAAAAGATGCTCCTTGGAAAGAAAGCTTTGGCAAATCAGAGTTCTGTACACAACATCTACAGAGCCATTGTGCTGTGACATCATTGTTGTATGCCTGTGAAACCTGGACATTATTTTAGCACCATGCCAAAAAATTGAACTGCTTCCTTTTGAATTGTCTTAGAAAGATTCTGAAGATTACCTGGCAAGATAAGGTATTGGACACAGATCCTTTTTCGAGGTGAACTAACAAGCATTCAGACTCTAATGCAGAGAGCACAACTCCAATGGGTTGGACGTGGTGTTGGGATGCAAAACATACATTTGCTTAAAAGACTATTTCACAGAGAATTCACACAAAGTAAGCATTCACAGGAGATGAGAAGTGATAGAAGAATACTCTCAAGGTCTTTCCGAAGAACTTTGGAATCAATTGTGAGATATGGCAGAGGACTGTCTAGTATGGCATGCCTGCATCAAAGGAGGTGCTGTGTTTTGTGAGCAAAGCAGAATTGCCATAGTTTAAAAAAAATGTGAGATGGCAGACATATCCTTCCCAAGTGTTCATATGGACTCTTTGAGCCCTACCTGTGGTAGAGCCTTCTGAGCTCATATTGGTCTGATCAGCTATGTCAGATGCACTGTACACCCCAACATCGTGATGTTATTTTGGTCCTCTTCAATTATGAAGGACAATGACAGATGATCAGCATATTAAAAAGCAAGACATCATCTTGCTGACAAATGTCCGTATAGTCAAAGCTGTGGTTTTTCCAGTAGCAGTGTATGGCTATGAGAGCTTGACTATAAGGAAAGCTGAGAATGGCAGAATCAGTGTTTTTGAATTGTGCTAGAGAAGACTTTTGAGAGTCTCTTGGAAAGCGAGGAGGTCAAACCAGTCAATATTTAAGAAATTAATTCAGACTATTCATTGGAATGTCAAATACTGAAGCTTTATACTTTGGCCACGTAATAGAAGACAGGACTTATTGGGAAAAGCTTGGACAGACTTCAGAACATAGAGCAGGATAGAAGGACCTGTGATCTATGGGGTCATGAAGAGTCAGACATAACTGAACAACAAATTGTGATCTTACTATAAATTGTTTTGGTTCTCATTTCACTCTCCATTGGTTCATATAGGTCTTCCCAGCTTTCTCTGAATATTTTATATTCATCATTCCTTATGGCATAATAATGTTTCACTGCATCTATATACCAGTTTGTTCAGCCATTCCCCAAGTGATGGGAACCCATTTTATTTCCAGTGCATTTCATTTGAAAATGACTTCATGTATTTTGACCTCTTATGTTGGAGAATGGTGCTTGTTGTTTTAAAAAAATATATATTATTGATATGTTTTGTTTTAAATCTCCTGGATTTCCTCCTGTATAGTTCTCTTATTGTTTTGTTTTTATTAAGGAACAGTTACAAGTTACAAAATTTTAAATTTTCATTTTGTAAATGTGAAATGATTGATATCTATGATAGTTTTGTATTTTAAAAACTATATCTTTATTTAAATAAGAAAGCCTATCAATACAGAAGTTGTAATATACCTCTTTTGTGTGGACCAGATATCCTAGAGACTCTCTTTTTATTAACATTTTGTTTTTGTTTTGATTTTGTTGTCTTTCTACAAATTTAGTTCACTTATGTTTTGAGAAGTGACCTCAGTTTTTCCATAATCTTGAGCCATATGACCATTGTACTGAAAGGGACCCAGGAGATCATCTAGCTAGGGATTCTTAACCTGGGTTCCATGAACTTGATTTAAAAAAAACAAAAACAACCACCTCATTGTATTTCAGTATAATTGGTTTCCTTTGTAATTCCTTATATTTTACTTTATGCATTTAAAAATGTTATTCTGAAAAGGGTACTTGTAGACTTCATTAGATCACCAGAGGGTTCTATAACACAAAAAAAGTTAAGAGTGCTTGATCTAGTCTCTTCTTTTTATAGATTAGGAATCTGAGGCCTAAAAAGGTCAAATAACTTGTTCAAGGTCATATGGCTAGTTGGTATAAAGGTCTTTTCTAGAAGATAAAACATAATTTTATCACTTGTTTAATGAATATAATGGGAACAGAGGCTTTTTACTTATTATAGTACCTTCTCTTATTTTTCTCTTTTTTAATAAACCAAGGAGAGACAAAAGGGAGAAATCAACAGGAGTACTGGTAGCATATGTGGTATTTGGAAGAGTAAGTGTAGCAGTCAGGGATATTTAAACTAATTTAGCAGATAGGTAATAGGTGTATTCAAGGTATCTAGTTTTCACTGTTTACCAGAGGGAATGAAACTGATATCTTTTGAAGAAGATAATCAAAAGCAAACCAGAAAGTTATATTTTTGTTACACTCACTGAAAATATAAAACATTCTTGTTTGAAACTAAAGAAAATACCAAGCTTTGATGGGTAGGAAAAGAGTTATGAATAAGGCAAGTTATGATTTAGCGTATTAGTGCAGGTTAGAGTAGAAAAGTTAAAAAGTGATAGAATGATTCAAGGAATGGGGAATCTCAAGGGCAGAGAAGAGCCTTAACCTTTGCTTCTTTTCTGCTCTTCTAACTAATTATGGACACCATTAAATTTAGAAGTATCCTTTGCCCTTCTTTCCTTATCCTTTCTTTTACAACCTCCATTGCTGTTTGTAGACAGTTGGATGCCTGTGGTGTAGCACTTACTGTTAACCATTTTCTTTCCCTGTAACCATTTAAAAATTTATAAAGAAATAAAATGTTATATTCAGGTTAATCTGCCTTTTAGAAACAATAAAATTTAAAATAAGTCTATAAGTAAAGAGTAGAACCATTTCTATTTGATGTACAGAAACTTTTATTAGGAAATATAGGTACTGAGAGGCTACCATCTTCTTTTCATCTTAAAATACTAGAGAATAGGTCTTTCATTTTGTAAGCGGCACACAGTTTTTGAAAATGAGACTGTGGTGTGAAATGAGAAAATTCTTTCTTCAAAATCTACTCAAATTCAGTGATCTAATGTAAAGTTTTTTCAAAGAAAATAAAATTGTGAGGGGGGAAGTACTTTATGTAAACTTTCTTATCTCTGTAATTGTTTTCAGGTATATGAAATCTCGTCTGACATACTGTCAAATTAATGATTTTATTAAAGAAATCAACAAGGCAGTGGCTAGTAAATATAGAATCCTAAATTTGCCCAAAAAAACTATGAATTCTTCTATCAGAAATCTGTATCACAGGTTCATTGAAGATGAAACCAAAGATACCAAAGGTAAGTGAGAAAACCTGTCTATTCCAGCTGTCATTAGTATAACTTCTTAAGGAGTCTGTGATATGCACTGGTATGGGTACTTAATGCAGAACTCTACCTTGTTTATATATATATTTATTATGTATATTCATGAGGTTCTAGGGACAAAAAAAAATCATCACCTGGTGACCAACCTCTTATGATGAGTCTTTCCCAACTTAGGCTAACAATCTGTCATCCATATTCTGAGGCTTCTCAATGTGGTATGGTCTGCCAGAGCTTAAATTCTGCCATTGTAGCCTTGAGGAACCTTTCTATGGCACAATGAGGCATTGGAAGAACACTTTAATGGATAGAATTGATATAAATACAACCACAGAGGTCAGTAGTCAATGAACATTTATTAAGCTCCTACCGTATGCCAAGGCACTATGCTAAGTACTGAGGATAAAAATACAAAAGAAAAAAAAATATTCCCTGCCTTGAAGGAGCTTACATTCTAATGGAAGAAGACAACATACAAGACAAAGGAGGCTTAAAAGCTGGAGGGGACAGGAGGAGAGGGTTGGGGAAGGTACTTGCTGACACAGGAGCATGGAGAAGAAGTCAGAGAAATCCAGTAGTTCAGTCAGGTAAGAAAGGAAACGTTCTGAGCTAAACTCCCTCTTCTGATGGAGGATTTGGAGTTCATGGCTTCAATTTTCCAATTAGAGGATCTGGGGGTTGTGATGAGGTAGAGTACCAAGGCTGATGGAATCTTGCAGGATGATGATAATGAGCTTCTTAAGGGAATGGTGGAGAAATCATAAAAGTCCAAAAGCCATATAGCTAGGTGAAAAATGAGAAAGTAAAACTTATTTTAGATGTAAGGGCCCTTCTTAAATTTGTTGTCCCTTAAGGACCAGCATTAAGTCTTTTATTCTCAGAATAAAAGTGAATTGTTCAGAGGACACTGATGTAATGTTAATGCATATGTTATTAAATTGCCACATTAAATATTACGCAACTTTATTAGATAAATTTTTTTTAACATTGTAAGAATACTAGTTAGACACCTTATGTTGGCAAATGATAATATAATACAGATTTACAGTTTATGCATTGCTAACTGCTACCTGTAAAGTTAACCTTTTACAAATAAATCTCTTTTCAGGCCAATACTTTGTAGTAGAAGCTGATATAAAAGAGTTCACCAATTTGAAAGTTGACAAGCGGTTTCATGTGATACTGAACATTTTAAGGCACTGCCGACGGCTGTCAGAAGTCCGTGGAGGAGGACTTGTCCGTTATGTTATAAACTGATAGGTTTTGGCATTTTCACTGACGGTGTTGTATAGATTGTTTTGTAATTCCTGTTTCATAATGTATTTTCATTACCTTTTTTAATTTGTTCAGCACTTAATAAAACTTTAGTTTGTTCTTCACTTAATAAGTATGCTGTTGGTCATAACAGAGACTAGCCAGGTAAAAATATATACCATTACGACTACCTAAAAGCAATTCATTAATACACTCTTGATTCATTTGTTTCGTGGTGTCTTTTTCTTATGTGAGGATAGCTTATTATTAACCAACATGACACTTGATTATCTGACCCAGCATCTCTCCTGCTTGGGTCTAGAATTGCTAAAGTGTTGCAAGGATTGGAGCTGTAGAACTAACCTTCCAAAAAACTATTTGGTTAGTGATAAATGAAGTTATGGGTTTTATGAATTGGATGAGTTTGCCTACTCTACCTGTTGAGCCTTCTCTTGTACTTGTTGTTTGCCAAACTTTAAGACCAAATTACTTTAGTGTACCATTTGTGTTATATTAATTTTGGCTGGTGTCTTTGTTCTTTTTTCCATGTGTTTTTTCCTTCTAGTTTCCTTAAAGGTGAGAATATGTATGTATGTATGTGTATGTGCATGTATATATGTGGTGTGTATATATGTGCACCTATGCATATATATGTACACAATATGCCTATTTACATGTGTGTACACACACACACACATACATTTAAAAAAACTCCTGAAAGTACATCTTACAGTATTTTGCACATAGTGGCTGTTCAACAATTGTTATTGATTTCTGTATAGACCTGAAATGGTGAATTAGTATTGCCTTACTGGGGCATACATTTGGGATTTAGAGACCCTATTAAAACTTAAACTTATTCTTTGATATTATTTATGCCAAGATGATTGGATTTCAGGAGAATGTAAGCTCCTGGAGGGCAGGGGCTATTTTGTTTTTTCTGTGTCTTTGTTTCTTTGGTGCTTTTTGCTTTGGTATTTAATAATTTCTTTTTTTTTTTTTTTGAGTGGAATTTATATCACTAGAATAAATTTGGAAAGAAAATATTTAGTGTTGGCCATAAAATAGACTTGGAACATTGGTGGTATTTTCAAAACACCTTCTACTTGAAAGTTGGATCATTTGAAAAGCAAGGACTAAAAGGGAAGAGGTTTTGTGAATTGTGTCAGAATGGGATTTGGGTTTTTGGTCTGTGGCACAAGAAATCTTAAATAGTTTTGGGGAGCTTCAGTTTCCTGGATAATTGCTGAAAAATCTATTCTAAAAGCAATAGTTATAAATTCCTGTCATTCTTTGCTTACATTTTCATCTCTCCATGGAAAAGGGTATGAAGGGTATTACTTTAGCCCAAATTCTTAACAATATTGAAGAACTAGTTAGTATAGGAACAAGAACCCTTAGGAGAAAGTGGCCATGTCTTCTGTTCTAAGATAGGACATTCTGGTTATGATCACTTGTATTCATCAAATTAGTAAGATAGGCTTAATACTATGGCCTGATGATAATGAGAATACTTAACTATTCTTAATGGAATTTAGAACTGCTGGTCCAAATGAATCATGTTCCAAAGATATTAAGAAAACTTACAGATATCGTAAGTTTTTCATTTTTATTGGATTTTGGAGAATGGAAATTTGAACTTCCATTCAAAAAGTTGGAGATAGGCAAATGGCTTAGTGATTTTCAGAAGGAGAAATAAAGTGAGCTCCATAGAAGAAAGTAAAATTTCAGCCTGGATTCATAAAGAATTAGTTATGTCAGATTAACTTCCCTCCACTTTTTGATGGGGTTAGTATAAGACTGGTGTTAGGTCTAAGACTCTTAAGCCATTCCAGGATTGGATGGGGCTAAGTCTTAGACAGTAGATAAAGATGTAACCAAAGGCTGTCTCTGGAAAGAAATCGCAAACTTGTCTACATATTAAAGAGAATAACCTATGAGCCAATGGAAAGCTAGAAAGCAAAGCCATAGTATGCCTGGAGGAAGGAAATATGGTTCTGATCTTCACAGGGCTTAATGCCTGGGAGGAGAATCAATACCTACTTCAGGTAAATCTTACGATTTCCTGCATTTCAACTACACTTAATTGGTTCTGGAAGTTCATCAGGGTCTGAATTATCTACCAGAGGCAACTAAAACAGACCTCTCTACAACAACTACCAATTTCCAGTGGTGAGGGAAGTTGGCTTTTCCTCAAGTCCTCTCTCAGGCTATCTCCTTATGCCTACAGTGGAGGTATAAAGCACCTAGTGACTCAATATCCAACTTGGATTTGGTAAATCAAGGAGTTTGATTGATATTCTCCATCATATCTTTGTAGACAAGATGAAATGTGGGCTTGGTAATTGTATGATTGGATTCAAAGCTTGTTGAGCAATTATAGAGTATTGATTGGGTCAGTTACGTCTTGGAAGGGAGATTTGTAAGGTCTGCTGAAAGTCCATGGCCCTGTTCTATTTGGCATTTCTATTAATTTTTATGTAGATGTTCAGAGAATCATAGGAAGACTGAGCTGGGAGAGCTGTTGGAAATGAAGTCCAATCAACTCATTTTATAAGTGAGGACACAGATTTAGAAATGGAAAGTGACTTGCCCATAGTCACATAGTAACTAGCTTCTCGAAAGGGATATTTACTAAGATTGTATGGTTGGTACAAACATTCCCCCTAAAAGGTCTGTGACCCACACTGTCCTACTAGTACATACAGAGTCCAGGTGAAAGTATGCTGAAGTTCAGAGAATACATGTGACAAAGTGGTAACTCAGTTCTTGGAAGTCCTTTTAATGGAGTTCTCATGAGATTCCTCTTAGATAGAGTGTAGCTTTTCTGATGGGATCTTTGTATAGTGTTGAATCTGTGTTCCTCATCACATCTAGTGCAGACATTGCCATCAGCCATTAAGGAGAGGCTGCTGGGCCAAAAAGAGTCCAAAATCCCTCAGACCCATTGAAGCTTACAAGACTCTTAACCATGTTGAGGAGTGCTCTTACCCCATCCCCCAGTTCCTTATCGTGAGTTTAGCTGGAATACATCTTGAATGCCAAGCGCTTGGCTTTCCAGTTTCAAGTAGCTTGCTATTTTTTACAGGACCCAGAAGGTGGCACCAAATCCATTAGCCAATCGAATACCCTTCATGTGGCACCCAGGGAGGTATGTAGGCCATGTTTACACCTAGTGGATAGTCAACACGTCTTCTCACTTGATAAATATATGATGTAGCATCTTAACACTCTGTGACGTGGGATAGTTGTCTTTGCTGACTCTATACATAACAGATGACGATGCCATCAAATCATTGGCTGCTGAGCTAGAGAAGCCTCTGTCTCGTAGTTGAATCTTGTCTTGTGGCAAGTAATGCTCTTGGTCTCTAGACTTCCTAGAGGGGATGGGGGTGAGGAGTTTGTTATTCTCGTCATCCTGTTACTACTTCCACCTTCCATGGATTCTAGCACAAATGCTTATACCTGGAGATTTCGCTACCTTTTTTGCTTTACTTCCCTTCCTGAATAGGTGACATAACCTTGTTCTAAGGGTGAAGTGTCCAAACTTAGTGATATCGTGCAAATTCTAGAGGTCCTGGGTGGAGTGAGAGAAGCCAGCTCAAAGTAAAGGACGTTTAGTAGACAAGTATTAACGAGGAGGAGTCCAAACCCTGACTTACTTGTTAGAAAACCTGAACTTTGAAGGAGACTAAGTTCATGGAACCAGGTGAAATGCAGAGTGCCTAATCAACAGTCCCTCAAACTGTTTTCATGTTTAGATGAAGCTAAAGTCTCAGCATCCAGAGAGATTGTAATAGTAATTATACATTGTTACTGAATCCTATTTTAAGTACTTCTACTTATGAGTGCTGTGAGTCTTTGTGTCTTCACTTTGTGTATGTATGTGTGTTTATGTAGGAAGATAAATACCTTTACCATACCCAATTAATCTTGTGTGTTGAATACCTTCCTAATCCCTCACCTTTGGTGGGAGACCCTAGACAGGAGCAAAACCTAAACTATAAATGATTTATCCTTGAACCATATGGATGACGGCTTACTGAGCTGAAAAGAGTGAGAAAAGGAAGCCTAACTGCTTGCATTAGAGGTATGGCTCCCCCCAACAATCTGATTCAGATTGTGTGCTTTTATCCAAGGCACGGGGGTTCTTTAGAGAGAAGGGAGCGTGTACAATGTCCCAGTCCCTTGGGCCCAGAAATGATTTCTTATTGCTTGACAGGAAATTGAGTCCTGAAAAAATTAGAAATTCCCCAGATGATAGAAATATGTTGTTATCTATGGTCCAATTCAGTTGATCTTCGTACTGTTCTTCAGACACAAAGCTCTAGCTCCTCTTTTCTGTCCCTTTATACAGTCTACCTATGAGTACCCCACAGCCCATTCCTGGAATGCACTCCCTTCTTATCTCTGCTTCTTAGGATTCCTACTTTCCTTCAAAGTTTAGCCCATGTCTCCTATGTGAAACCTTTTCTGATCTCCAACTGCTGCAGAATCCATCCTCTCCACTCCACCCTCCAATTATCCTCTATTTATAGAGTATTTACTTATTTAAGAATGCTGTCTCAACAGAATGGAAGCTCCACGTAGGCAAGAATGGTCTAATTTTTGTCTTTGTATCTCCAGTACGTAGTACAGAGCCTGATGCATAGTAGGTGCTTAATACTTATTTATCAATTGATACATGTATACCTTGCTTTATAAGGAAGATTGTACAAATTAAACATTGTAAATAGAATGATACTAATTTTCCTCTGAAAGTGCTGTTTAATTGTTCCATATCAAATTCTTTTACAAAATGAAGAATTCTTTTGTAATGCAATGTCTATTCTAAAATGTCTACTCTAATGGCATACATGTGTATTTTATGTTATTTTGGTAACATTCTAGGCTAAAATATGGGCTTAGCTACCACTTAGGTGAAGGTTTGCTAATTTTTGGTTCATGTTAGGATAGGAGAATTATACCTGGATCTGGCAATTGTTATTGGTTTCTTCTTTCTGGAACCAGTGGAAATTGGGAAAATAAAAAAAGGTTTCATATGTAGCTTTATTTTATTTTATTTTATATTTGGCAAGGCAATTGGGGTTAAGTGACTTGCCCAGGGTCACGCAGCTAGTAAATGTTAAGTGTCTGATCTGAGACCAAATTTGAACTCGGGTCCTCCTGACTCCAGGGCCAGTGCTTTAAAGATTCACTGTGCAACCTAGCTGCCCCTCTTTTTTTTTTTTTTTTTTGGTGAGGCAGTCGGGATTAAGTGATTTGCTCAGGGTAACAGCTACTAAGTGTCAAGTGTCTTGAGGCAGGATTTGAACTCAGGTCTTCCTGACTCCAAGGCTGGAGGTCTTTCTACTGCGCCACTTAGCTGCCCCAATATGTGGCTTTATTTGACCACCACCTCCTTCTACAACAGGGAAATGGGAAAGTTGCAGTCATGGGCTTCCGTTACCTCTGTCTATCTTACTCAGAATAGCTGGGTTTTGTTTTTTTTTTATAGTTAGAAAAATGTTAGAATCAGAATATAAGTTAAACAGGCACTCAATAAAGGGCTAACGATACGGTCTATATCGTGTATCAGAACCCTGAAAAGAACATAGCATCCTTGCTCCTTTGCCGTGGTCTATTTTTCC